ATAAGTATGTCTGTCATGTAGGCAGCATTTACCCTAGAAAAGCTATAACAGAAGTTAGTTTTCTGCCTCATCTTCAGAATCAATTTTAAAAAGCATTTTTAAATGCTTTATTTTAAACATTTTTAAGTGAAGAGAAACAAGATGGTTGCTGCTGTTAACTTTGGCTGTGCTTTTGGCTTTACAACACTCCAAGCAGTGGTAAAAAGCACCCTGGAATATGGTATTGAAAGCAACGGATGAGGAAAAAAATCAATCACCTACACAGGAGCTACTGACAGTCAAAATATCACTGCATTAACTGCAATATCTGCTGCTGTTTGAGATGAGGATTATTAATTTACCTACATTTTTCAAACCTATACAAAATTTAACAAAAACATTTTGACGTGTATGTAATGAAATTCAACATCAGCCTTAAGATTCCTATGGTGGTGGTGACCACAACAGGAATGTCTGATGTCCTTTATCCCAGTCTCTGTCCATGACTCAGGATGTTCTGCGTTTGCTCCAGTTTTTCATTAACTCTTTAACTAGTCCAAAACTACTAAACGAGAGCTTTGAATACGTATTTGATGAACAATTCACAGGACGAGCCCTAACCCTGCAGTGCTACCACAGCTTGAGACAACTGGCCTGTGCAAAGTTTCCAGTGCCTTCCAGTAACGTGGAAAGGTTTATCCATACAGATCACGTTAGATATTAACCACTTTTTCTTTCTACTGAAGCAGGACCACTAACAGTCAAAGTCAAGCACGAGTTTTAAATGCTTTCATAAAGCAAAAGCTTAGCAGGACAATAAACCAGAACACTAACACAGACAACAGCTGCCACACAGCACAGGCTGACTGGTTTTTCCTAGTTACATCTGAATGTTTCAAAAGCCAGAAGCACACAATTTAAAATATTTGACATGAGTGTTAGCAACAACAAAGCAAGGACTCATGCATGGTGTACACCTCTCATTTATTCAAGGAAACAGGTACAACAGAGGTTATATGTGGAAGTCAAAGGAAGTTAATCTGTAAAACAAACAAAATGTTACAGAAAATTCTCCAAAAGAGCATAAAGGTTTATGGAAACCATTCCAGGGAAACAGAAAATCCATCAGTAATAATTTACACCCATATTTTAGGTTCTTGCTAAAGTGCCAATCAAAAAAAATTATTCACACCAGAGATACTGGCTTGCTTTTGGGTTGATTATTTGTTTGGGTTTGTTTAAAACAACATACTTAAGAATTTAGTCTGGCAAATGCACTTTTAATTCCCTCCACGCTACAAACACAACTGCATAAAAAGCGTGCAGTTGTTTTTCTGGTGCATAAGTAATGGCAATAATGAAAGCTTGGTTTGCCCTTTTAAATTAAAAATCTTAACTGTTCTGCTTTATGGTCAAAATTTTCAAAGTGAAAAAAATAACACTGATTAAGCAAAGTTAAATTATTACAGAACTGAATTTTGAAATATGATAAAGAACTGATACCTCGCTTCAGGTATTGCATGTTTCAAAGGACAGTTTTAAGATATTTGTCTTTTGTCAAAAAGGCTTTTGCATGATTGTAAAGAAAATTTCCCTGATGAGTTTTCCACTTTATTCTCTTCAACATTCTGTATCAAGCAACAGCATGAAAACTAAGTCTTTCTTTCATCCTGTTATATTAGTGCATTGCTATTCAAACACTTCTTACTCAGAATCAGACCAGCACTATCAATTCCTATTTACAGAAGCAGAGTATGAACAAGAGGTGTAAATCAACTTCAAAACAAAGTCTTCCTAGAGACACAGGCAGGGAATGCACCAGTAAGGAGGGAGGCACACAAGTCTTCTACCCAGAGTGGCTGATTTCACAGCAAAAATTATTTATATGTGTGCTATGTCAGTACTGTAATATTCAGCCATCAAACACACTAAAATCCAAAGGTCTGCATTATAAATATCTCTTCTGTTAAACTCAGAAGCAGAAAAAAAATTTAATTTATTTACTGAAGTTTCTTCAGGAAATTAAATCAAAATGATTCCTTGGAATATCAATATGTACAGCTATGCTTCATGATCTACAAAGCTGGTGTTTAATACCAGCAATCTTTGCATTTGATATTAAAACCAGCTAATATAAATTAGGATTTTAAAAGTCTATTTATTACAAGAACAGAAATTATAATATTTATTGTCTTACACACTCAAAGTGACTATCTACATAAAAGCCTGTCAATGCAATACACTTACTGAAAGTTTTAAGAGTAAATTATCCTTTGAGAACTATGGTGACATGTAAAAAACAAGAATATTTTATCAGAAAGGGAAAGCAAGAAAGATATTGCTCTGCTTTCAAGTTTGTTCCACATTTCTGCCTTTATCTGAGGAAATCTCACCTGGTGCTACAGACCCCACAATGTGATTGTTAATGTTGGTAGATGACTTTTACATGGGTCAGGTAACACAACTGAAGTGCAAACAGTAACAAGGCAAGTGAGTTCTTGCAGGACACTGCAAAGCCAAATGTCTTCAGTTATACATAACCATAATTTTCTACACCTATAATCACAGGGTTACTTTACCTGCAGAAAGAGTCAGCTACAAACACTATAGAGAACAAGGAACAAAACTCCTGGCTTTTATGGAACTGAAAACCTTTCCAAATCTCACAAAAATGAGGAGAAAATGCAGAATTAGCTATGGATATATGTAACTATTTATAAAAGAATATATCTGCACTATAATGTAGGAACTCTGGACAGAACTGAACAGAAACAGAAACCCATCATATAAAAATGTTAATACTGAAGAAAAGAAGGAAATCCCTTTTATTCTATTTTGGCTTGCCTTTGTTCGTTTTCCCCAAAGGATTTTACATTTACACATTTCCTTCTTCTAATCCCATGCTTTTCACAGTTTATTCCAAATTTATCATCTCAGAGGTAGTTCTTAGTAATGTATCAATAAATGCAAAGGGATTTTTGATCTTGAATTCCACTCAGTGCCTGCAACATCAAGTCTCTCAGCAGAAATTTTAAGTAATAATTCTAAAAATCAGGCTGAATTTGAAACAGATATGTGAGGAAGATAATTTTACATGTACTGCAGCTGTACACAAGGCTTTACAGCCACATAAAAACAATAAGGCAAAACTTCACTGGAGCACTTACAGAAACACAGCAAGAACCTGCCTCCAGGTCACTGTCTCACGTTACATCATCATCATCATCTACTACACTCCCCAGAGTCAGCTGCTCCAAGTTCTCCAATATGACTGTTTTAAGTGTAAGTTCACACTGTCACAGAGTTTCCTGTCAACTAAATGAGTTCCAGTTTTCCACAGCAAGGCCAAAAAACCCTACAAAACTGATTGAAATTATGTTGGGGGTGAGGGTGAACACTCACAAGTGCCATTACGAAAAACAGTAGGTGCATTTTAACATTTCTCCTCAGCAGTCATGAGAAACGATTTTATGGATTTATTAGAAATATTAGACATTTTCAAATCCATAATCTTATAGTAAATAGGAAAGAGTGAGCAGTCAGACTCATTAAAATTTGAATTTTTACCACTGACTTCGCTGAGGCCGAAATATTAATGAGATGCAGAATTAGGTTCAAGTTTTTCAACATTTTTCTCTGCTCTCTGACATCTGAGTTTTCCAAAAACAGAAACTGAGAAGGGCTCAAGTTGGTAATTCTCTTTATACCCACAGGAATATATAAAGCTGTATCAAGAATATCAAGAAGATTGTGGGTTCACGGTATTCAGGCTTTACTGTAAAACTCAGTAACATATATTATTCTCCACTGCTGTGTGAAAAGGATAATGTTTCAGATAATTAACACTTATCAATAATTCTACGATGCTTTTCTAATCTTCAAGTAGCTAAAGCAGTAAAAAGGAAAAAAAATATTGTTAAAACTGAGTTAACTCTTAAAAGCAGATATAATTCCTCAGATGTTACAGAACTTACAATGAAAGTTTTAAGAAATAATTTCCTATTTTATTTTTCTTTGAGATATAACTCTGTATGATATGCAGGTGCTAAGCAGGGAAGAAAACACTGCCCTAGGTGCTACGCTAGGCTACAGTGGGGGCACAGATCGAGGAGACACCAGCACAGCTAAGAACAGATAGTTACCCTGGGTTCTTTGGTTCACTGTCCCGGGAATTTCCTCCCTTCAGCTTCCTAACCAGCTTCTCACTGCTGCGTCTAAGGGAAGCACGAAGCTTGCTAAAGGAACCACTGCGCTTTAGAGATCCAGTGCCATCCTGAAAGAAATCGAACACATGTCAAACTGCAAGAGGTTGTTGCCCTCCCCCTGACACGGTTCCAGAACGTTTGGTTGATGAATTATTGTACTTTAACTGCTATTAATATATACTTATACCATATACAATTACCTAAACACGTAACACCATATAGCTACGACTTTACCAAAACAAAAGGGTTCCTCCCAAAGCGTAACACAGATTTCTAAAGGTGAAGACATGCCCAAGCCATGATTCATAATAATGAATAAAACCCCACCACAGTAGTCCAACAATTCACCACCACCATGTCACCATTTCACATGAGCACACCGTGGTTAACAGAGTACAGAGCCCCAAGCAAAAGCATTCCATCAGTCTAAGAGAAAAACTGTTTCATTCTTTCTGAACATCTACATTACTTGCAAACATGTTTAATTAAACCTAAAATCCCTAAACAAAATATATTTCTGATCAGAAACACCCATGGTCAAATTCTGGTGCTTTGTTTTAAACTTTCCACCAAAGAAAATGTAAAACACAATGAAATTAATTTTTCATATGCTGCATTCATGTTTTACACTGCTGTGCTGACCTAGAGAAACTTCCAACTGACCACAATTCTATTTTTAAATGTTTTACTCTTAAAAAGACCCCAACAGTTTAGTAAGATTAGAAGTGACCACTTCCTACTTCATAGAAAACATAGGTGATTATGAAAGAAGAGTTGTGAAAGAAAAAAGCACTACTAAGCAAAGACAGACACCTGAGTTGGAGTGAGTTTATTAGAAGTTAGAAAGACAAATACACAAATCACTGAACACCAAGATTAGTAGAGAAAAGCATAATTGCCAAAATCTCACACAAAGACTAAACAGCAATGCTACTTTAGAATAATCATAAGTGAAGACATCCAGAGTTCCATATTGATGTTAACCATATAATAGGTCTCTAAATACATTTTAAAGCACTTGGAGAACATGCCTTACTTTTATGGGTTTGGTTTTTCTCCTGTAAAGATCACCATCATGCCATTTCAATAATACCTTGTGTGATACTTTTAACTACCTTTATTCCATAGTGAACAGCTACTTATAAAGGTCATTGTTACTTGTCTGGGTTTTTGTTTTTTTTTTTTACTAATGTATTACACAGCAAATGGTTGTAATAACATTTTGTATGACTAGATACATATCTGGCAAAGCTACACATGTACAGAAATAGAAAACCAAAAAAGACACCAGCACTGAAGGAATGGCCAGTTTACAGGGAAGTGTAGCTCTGACAAGAATCTTAAGGGGTTTGCTAAAACACAGCAGTCAGTACTGAAGAAAGAAGTTAAAGCTTGAAGATGGTGCACGCCCGTCATGCAGGAGACAGTATAAGAATCACAAAAGGCATCTAGGCCTGTCAGAAACGGAGAGAGAAAAACTGAATGAAACTGTTGGGAAAAATTCAACAGTTTTCAATTTTGAACAGTTATGTTTACAGTATTTCTAGGTCACATTCAAAAGCTTTGGAGTCCAGGGTGAGTGTTTGGACGGCCCTTAAGCACAAAGTGCAGGTTCTTGTAAATACCAGAACCTACATCTTTATACAGCTTCACCTACATCACTGATGTGGGACTGACAGATGAGCATGACAGATGCTGAGCATAAAAGTTAGCATTTGTATAAAATGCAAAACACCTTTAAGAAGGGATAGCTTTAGTATTACATTTTGTCAACAAAAAAAAAATAATTATTTTTTCCAGCTGACATTAACACAAAAATAAAAATAAAATAAATAAATAAACAAAAGAGAAGCAAGGAACAGAGCAAGGTGCATTCATTTCAGCTTTAACTTCTGTCGGGAATTTTCCCTGGAAAAAAAGTGCAAGAAGAAAGAAGTCTTCACCAAACCTCCAGACAAAATTCTGTTCATGCTTTAAGGAACTAAAATCCAACTGTCCCGGGTGAATTCAGTTTCACAAGTATTTTTTAGAACATATCTGTGTGTGTGTGTATATATATATATACATAATCCAAGTGGAATTTTCTCTGCTTTCCCTTATGCAGTGAGGCAGCTGAAAGAATCCACCTTTAAAATAAATTGTGGTTCAATTTACACATTTTCCCTCTCGGTCTAAGTATAGAGACTATTATTGATAAGCTTAAGATACCTGTCTTGAGAGCCTTTACCTGTAACAACTGAAGTGAACAGTAATTAAAATTATCCTTGGAAATGGTAAAATGCCTTGCTACCAAGTGATCAGAAGATCAAAATCTGAGTATTTCTGTTTCAAACTACATCGCATATATTGTTCACACTTTTAAAAACAGACTTCAGCTTTACAGGATTGATTAAACTGAAGCCTAAATTCCAACTAGAAGCACGAGATGAGTGAAAAGGCTAATTATTCCTACAGTCTGAAACCAGCAATACTACAGTAGTGATAATCATCCAAAGAACAAAGGCAAGACAAATTTGGTAGGTACAGAGTATAACTCTAAAGTAAACCTAATCAGGACATTAGGAGTAAGCAGACAAGCTTTTGGGTACTTTCAAATCTGAAATAAGAACATCAAACTCCCAAGTTAAACACTGACTGCATGATTAACAAAACACCTTTAAAACATAAGTTCAGGATAAAAAAAAAAATTCCTAAATCCAAAGTAAACAAAGAAACCAAAAAAAAAAATAACAGGAGATTTTTATGGCAAAGTTTAATTGACAATGTTTATGTCATTCAGAATGAGAATCACCTTATTACTTTTGCTTACACCTCCCCATTATCACCATCTCCTGTACTTTGTAGCTGTCAGCTACAGTGTCCATCTGACACAAAACAAGAGCAGCTCTCATTAACAGTGACATTTACTGCTTTCATTTCACATCTGGAAGTGGGCTTATGTGCCCAAAAGTCTTTTTGAAGCATATGGGTTAGAGTAAGAAAAGATGCTTCCTCACACTAGGAACATTCTCTTAAATTAAGTACCACAAAGATTTTTATTTGTTCTGCAATGGGCTGCAAGATCAATTTACAAAAATGCCAATTACAGATGATCACTGTTCTTTTTTATATACAAATATAAGAAGGGATTCAAATCTTGGCCTTTCTACCTTAAATTTTTAAGGCCAAGTATTTCTTTGGATGGATTTATAAGTAACATGTTTATGCACTATAACAACCTCACTTAATGTGTCTGCTTTAATAGTTAATGGCTGATTTACCTCAATAGGTATTTCAGTTCTTTTGTAAGAATGCAAGACTTTACATCAAAGTATACAATGCTTAATATGGATCACATTACATATGGAAGGCACTTAATTACATCTTCCAGCAAAATTTTTTCATTGAAGTTTGTCACTTTACACACTCCAACAATTCTTTCTGACAGCCAAAGAGCAGGAGTCAGCTTGACCACTTCCAAAGAATTTAAATGGAAAAGGCAGGCCTCTCTTCAGGCTCTGCATGCAGAAGTCAAAGATTCTACTACACTTTATGAATCAGAATATTTTGTCTGGAGGGAACACACAAGGGTGAAAAAACTACACAATATGAAGTAGAGGGAAGAACACCACTGAGAGAGAAACACTCGCAGGGTAGAGGGAGAGAGAGTTGCCCACTTCATGTAAAACATGTAATACAAAACATCTTCTCTTAAGGGGGAGGGGGGAAAGAAATAACGAAGATGAGAATAAAGCAATGCCACTTCAGCACACTAAAAATGAGGTTTGTTTACCCTGAGAAGTCAAAATTTAATTTTTCAGATCCATAAATTTTATCACCGAGTTTGACCTAGAAATACTGTCTATTGCTTTTCCCCAGAAGGCCCTTTCCATCCAAAACCTGCATGCATGTTTAATTTATGTCAATAACAGAAAAAAGTTTAATCCATTTAGAACATATAGTCATGCAAAGTACAGTGAAAATTAAGGGAGGAGTACAGTACACAGTTCTAGTGCTGAATGGGCAAAATGAGAATTAAAGAGAGTTATCCAACCTGACTTTGGCTTTATTAATGATGCAGTATTATTCACAGTAGATGCTGATTGACTGTCTTGGCACTGAGAACACCAATGCCAAGAAAACAATAAAGAGACAAAAGCAAAGATGGAAAGAACATTCTCCTTTAAGACTAAAGCACTATGTGTTTTACCAAGGTTTCTTTGGAATGCTTTGTCTTATGTGGCCAACAAAAAGATGGGAAAAAAAAGATTGCTATTGTAAGAGAAATGAAGCTTCAGAACACTCAATATTGCAAAGTAGGCTACTTCCCCTCCCATACAGCAAAAGCAACACCACTTTTATAAACTAACAGAGTAATTTCAGCAGAACTACAGTTGGGAGTTAGTTAACAGTACAATATATATCCCATTGCTGGCAATGGGATAAAGCATGGGAAAGCTGGTGACAGAAGCAAACAACTACATAAGCCAGACCAAAAACTGAAAGCTTGCACTGTCTTTCAAATTAAAGGAAAACAATGGTTAGAAAAATGCACATGAAATAATCACATCGTATATATGTTTTTACTTTATGACGATCAGTGTAACACAGTGAAGCCAATATATGGGAAACAAACAGGAACAAGCCCTGACTCCAGTCAAATTTTAATATGGGGAAAGGGGTATTAATTTCAATTAAGAAACATGAAGTCACCATCACATTGGTATGTGATGGCACTGCCTCTTAAAATGGACTGTACAGCAGCTTGAAAAGTTACATTCCTTCCTCCAGCAAGTTGGGTAAGGAGGAGATTGGAATTATTTTAGTGTTAGACTAGTCACTTTACTTTAAAACAGCTAACACTCAAAACATCTCCATAGCAAATTGTCTTTGTGATTCCAACTGATGCAGTATTTTTAAAGAAACATTTAAATTACGGGCAAATATGGCATCAAAGGGAAAAAAGCAAAAGTAAGTTAATTGCCAGAATATTTCTACCAGTAAAAGAAACCACTGACAAGCAATTGTACACCAGACCACCACCAGGACATTCAATCAGCATTAAACAACTTGGCATTAAATACAACTGCTTGAGATTCTTGCAGAAATGTCACCACTCAGGACAACGACAGAAAGGATGTTTTAAAATTTTAAAATATTACGATTTTTTTAACATTATGAATAGGCAAAACGTTAATTCTTCATTTCTTAATTGATTCTGCAAAATTACAAAATACAAAGTAGATCAACCATAAAAAAGAAAAAAAAAAAAACCAAAAAAACCCAACAAACTACTGAAAGCACAACAGGCTGGTGGGTGGACAACCACGTTTGTCAGGGTGGTGATTTCTCTAGGCTATGTTCTAAACTGTGTACTGTACTTACCCCGTTCCACTCTACGCTCATACTCACTTCCTCGCCTCCGTCAGGGCCACTCTCGTACTTTACCACATCCACGTTGAGGCTTTCCCGGCTCCGCCTTTTCTCTATGCTCTCAGGGTCATTCAGCACTTCAGCAACTCTCTGTTTGTGAACATTGTCAAGACCCTGAGAATTAGATAAAACGGGAAGAGGCTTTATCTTGTTACAAGCTGCATTAATCTACAACTTACACACTGCGAAAATCAACACAGTGTGAAGGGGACGGACAGTTCTGGTAGTTTGAGAATTCGGTGACTTCACATTCTTTTCCTCCTTTCTTATCACTTGCCTAAGCCTCATGGTGTTTGTGTCACTTACCTGAAGCCATCTGGCCACCAGCTAAATATTTAAGCAATTTATAGGTCATGAATAGTCAGTGCAATCCTTAGTTATCCACCTGTCAAATGGAGCAGCCCTCACTCACCTTTGGAAAGACCGTTGCAGGTATCTGAATATCTAATACCTAAGAAGTTGTGTTATTTAAAAATACTGACATATGACACTTAGCACTGTAGGACAATTTAATCCTTCAAAAAGAAAGAAAATAGCAAATAAGCTTATAATAAACAGACTACATATGTGTCAATAAAATACATTTACTTTGTGGTAAAGAATGTCCATCAACTATTAAATAATCCTTTAAATATCTTAAAAGTGCTGAAGTACCTCCTATGAAAATCCTGCATTAAAAATAAAGGCAAAATCTTTAACACAGAAACTACAAAATAGCAAAGCTCAAACCATACTTATTTTCAGTTTTGTTTTGTTTTCTTTACAATAAACCTACTCCACATCATAAAGAGTATTTGCTAATAGGAAGGGATTCCAGATGAATGCCTTACACTTGAGAACATATTCTGCATCTTTTACAGTACAGCATTAGCAGCAAATGCAGCAGGGATCTGTGGGACAAATCTATAACATTGACCACAATACAGAAAGTGAAAAGGATGTCAAAATTCTTAAAAGTCCATGAATAACAATGAAAGTTGTTTTAGTGGCACAGAGAAATCAGGTCCTTGGTTCCCATATAGTTTACTCCTAACTGAGGAGCTGAACAGTTCATCCTAATGGAATTCTACATGAAACCAACACATACTGATGGTGTATTTTCACTTCCCCGTGGGTGCAGGGTGCAGAAAGTGGCTGCAGCTCTCAGACAGCAGAGAAACAAAGGCTCACAATGGCTTTTGCACCAATCCTTCAGCAGCACAGACCACAAAGTGTGTAAAACAGAGTCGAGGTCTGTTCCAAAGCTATCATCTCTCACTTATCTCACATGTGAAAAAAATAAAATAACGAAAGGTCAGGAAACTGCACCTTCTCAGTTTGTTCAGTTCTGTCATGAAAGACAAAGGACAAAGAACACTACTGGTCTTCAAAAGTCTAGCACAGATATCCCACCCAGCAGCTACAGCAAACAAAATTTGCATAAAGGAGAACAGAGATGTGGAAAACTGATGCTTTTCCACACCTGAGAACAAAGGTACCTCTTTGCTTTTAGCTCAAAAGCAGAAATGCATTAACCCTGTTTGTCCTCCTTGAATGACCTAGAATAAAAACATAGTGTTTAGATGCTGCCAGTAACACAACACTCTTTTCCTACATGTCTAAAACTAGTGCTGTGTTTACCGTCATATATTATGGACTAATGGTATAGGTGGTATATGATGCACAATGAAAATCTGAAGCTTGCTTAATAATAAAGTGGCATCAGCAAGTCACCAGCAGCCTCTAAGGAAAATGGAGACAAGGAAGAGTTTTTGCAGTGGTACTGACAAGCCAGAAGAGGGATGATTAAATAGGGACTCTAAAAAATAGACTTTCTCCAATAGCAAGAGCCTTAATTTCCAAATAATCAATTCCATGCTTCCCAGTAAAAATCTGAACTTGAAAATCTGATGGTCTGATTTTTGGGGTTCTTTCCTAATATAAAGAAGGAAACAAACATAACAACATGCTAAGTTTGCTTCCAGGCTTCTTAATTACTATTATATTATGCCAATTTATCCTGGTTGTATCTGTTCATGCTAAAAAGTTATCTTGTGTAATGGCAACAGTAAAACCAAGAACCAAAGCAAGTTATGTTAAGATGCACTGCATGTTCATTTCTTATTTTCAAATCATATTTGAATGAGACACTCTGAAAATGGACCTTCAGTAAAAGTATGTGAAAATCATCTTCAGTAAAAGAAAGTATCTGTATCAACTATTCTCCCCCACTCCTTGAATTTTCTTTGCTGAAGAACTTATCTCCCAGATTTATACTTTCTTCTTACCAGTTTCATTCCAATTCTTTGGCAAACACTCACAGGTTTTCCATTCTTTTTTATGGAAGAAAGAACTTAGGCCACCTTATATCAAAGGGAGCTGTTGCTGAATTCACTAAAAGAGCGTGAGGTTTGCCAGGAACTTTTTTACTCTCCCTTTTCCAGACATCTGTTTCTATATACATCAAACACTGCACTATCATTCTTTAAAAAACAACTTCAAATCACTGTAACCAATAAAAAACCACTAAATTATCAATAAAGATATGGTCCATCAGCTAAGTCCATTCACTTCAATTTAGAAATTAAGTTTAGAATTCTACATGGACATATAAGGAAAAAAAAACCCCACAACAAAACAAGACACTTCTGATAAAAATACAAGTCTTATTTGTTATTGTATACATACTGAAATTAAAATTGAACTTCCATGTTATTTACTTATATTTACTTACTTTGCTTTCCATTTTAACATTGACTGACAACACGTTTTTTGTCCAGTCTTACATACTTTCAAATCATCCAAAAAGGAAAGAAAAAAAAAAAAGCCAATAAAACCCCAACAAAAACAAACTCCCTTGTACCTTCTAAGAGAAGGGAGAAAGGGTTATTTGTAGATTTGAGAGCTCAGAGACAGCACAGGACTTCCCCACATTAAAAGCAAGTCCCCGCTTACACTGTAATTTTATCACCACTTCAGTCAGGGGTCAACACCAGGCACAAGACACTGAATAGCTCCAAGTTTATATATTCTGTAGGTGTGACACTGAAGTTGAAAATCTGCATGACCACAATGCAGAAACATCATTCAGGGGAATTTTCATACTTGCCTGTTTACGAGATCTCATTGCTGCCTCTTCTAATGTTTCAGCAGCTTCAAATTTGCCCTGTCGTCTGTAAAGTGCCCCAAGGTTCTTTAAAGTAGTTGTTACTGTTGGACTATTTAAAGAAAAAAAAAATAAGAAAAAGACTTGTGTATATACACACACACACACAAACTCTCCTCAGTTCACTAACAAAAACTTAAATTAAGAAAGTATTTATCGTATTTTTTGTAATAATTTATTGTCTCTCTTGACATACACTATACTGTACTTCATGTACATGGAATAACCTGCTGATCCCTTTCAAAGTGCATTAACGGCTCACACTGGGATTAGTCAACATCCCTGAAACTAGAGTGCTATGTCCTTGTGTTCCTCAGCTGCATCTCAAGGTGAAAATTTAGCTCTAGAGGAGCGTGTCCAACTGAATAATTGTGAAGCTTCCAGAAAATATGCTTATTCATGCATACAGTGACTATTCCTCTAGCATGTGTTAGTCACCAAAGTAATTAACAGTTTCTTTCACCAGCTTTTATTTAATACCTATTTGCAGTTTCTGTGCATTCAAACTGTGCTTGAATAACAAAAGAAAAAAAATTTGCCTGTTCCACTAACAGGTCTCACACTCCAACAAGACATTTTTGTTTCAATGGCACAAAATTAGCTCAGTCACAGTATTGTTGTGTGCAGTTTTGCTCCAGTAACAGTAGAGAAAAGATTTTCTCATGCATTAGAATGAACTAGTACATGAAAAACAAACCAACAAAACACACTGCACCCAGAATTCAGGATGGATAAAAAAAGAGCAGATTTCAGTACAAAGGTTCTGATGCTTTTTAAATAGGAGAATTCAAACACTCAAGAAACTAAAAACCCTCACTGATAATCAGTACTAGTTGCAGGTTTTTTCACAATTGTACCACCTGCACATTAAAAAATTGCAGTAATGGAACAATATTAAAGCAAACAAAACATATTTCACCAAGTATAATCCAAGCTGAAGTCCTTATTTCTCTTACTGCACTTTAAAGTATGTGCTTTCATTAACACAACTATATTCTTCAAGCTTTAGAAACTCAAATAGCGCTTAACTGCAGCAGTTTAACTTTGTTTTCTTGTGCCAGCTAAGTAACTAAAGGCTCAGTTATTTACACAGACTCATTTCTGGCTCTCTTCAGAGGCCTTGATGGGGCAGAGAAGACACGTAGGCCAATCACCAGCACAGAAAGAAGGAATGGTGACCTGTGCTGCCACATGAAGGACTGCCAAGAACACAACTGGTGCAATTTTATGCCACTTACTAGATCTAACCAGCCTAGATTAAAAACAGCCTCAGGACTTGAAAACTGCTACTGTGTTCCTGAAACCCAGACCTGAGTGTTGAATTTTTAATACTATAGTTTTTATAGTCCTAAGCAAGCAGCTGGTTTGGTTTAATTTTTAAACATGCTTTAATCTGCAATATTGAGTACTGCTGTGTTGTTTGTCCTGTCAAGAAATTACCCACCTGTCAACTTTGCAAGCTTTGTACCAGCCACCATATTCTCCAAAAGATGTGCCATCTTTTTGCTTCCCCTAGAACAAAAGTATCATTGAAAAAAAAATAACTGATTTGCAACTTAAACAAGTAAAAGCTCAAAAAAAAGATTTACGACAATGGTCTTACTTTGCATTCTTCCCTCTCTTCTGCATGCATCCAGATAGGCTTATTTTCCTCTGGTGAAAGAGAAGAAAATATTTTATAGAACAACAAAACCACAAAGTATTCATTGTTTGATTTCTGAAATGAAGTTGTGAACCAAGGAATTATACTATTACCACCACAAAAAAACCTTACTGTCCATACTACAAGCAGCAGATAAATAAAACATGCACCTCTTCTTTTACAGTTTTACAATTCTGTCTTCTTTTCTTATCTGAACTTAGAAACAGTTATTTCTGAGAAGCTTTGAAGTCAATATATATCGTCACCAATTTGTCATGTCCCTAGTTCTGTGCTAGAAAACAAGCAGTTATTTCTTTTATCATAAGAACTGCTCTGACATCTCCTAAGTGGTGCATATGCTACTGTCATGCAATGCAATGAAAATTCTTTTCTGCAATTTATAGTTGATAAAATGTGTGTGACTTCAATGTACAGTGTAATTCCCAATTTAAATGTATTTTCCTCACTCTTTAAATGTATAAAAGGAAGACTTGCCTTGACAATGTCTTTATTTATATAATTTAAAATCCTGCATTGACGTTTTCCTGTGACTGGAAAGTGACATGTATTTTTCTGTGTCCATAAAAATACCAAAATTGGGTTTGGTTGGGCATAAGATAAAAGGCAATTCATAAATCATAAACTACCAAGTCTACCTCATGTAAGAAAAGTTCTGCTTTTGAACAAAAAATTACTGCTGCAGCTAAAAGCTTTCTTATGATGAATGTACTTCAACCCTTCTACGTCCACTTTTAAGTCCACCTAAAGCAGACAACGCTTTTAATCAGGGTACTACTGACTTCCTGCAAATTTTATTTCAAAGTAACTACACAAATGAAACAAGGACTCAGTTTCTTACCATCTACAGAGCCAAACTCCCGTTCATGGGCGCGAGTAAGAATCTCTTTGTATAAAGTTTCCGCTTGCTTAAACTTGCCCTGTTTTAGATAGCAGGATGCCTAAAAACAAAACACCCCCCCCAAAAGGTATCAGCACACTGCTTTATTTATCTTCATAAATAACAAACACAATAATAAATAATAAATACATGATGAATAAAAGTGCATTTCAATTCATCAGAACATTTTTCTCGTATTTAGTCTAGAAAAGGCCTACCAGATTGTTCTTTGTTTTCGCAACATTTGGGTCATCTGGTCCCAGTTTAGTTTGGTAGATTTCAAGTGCCCTCTGATAGTAGTATTCAACCTCCTCATATTTACCCTGGTTCTGGCATAGTAAAGCCAAATTATTTAATTGTTTGGCAACATCAGGGTGATCTTTCCCCAGGACCTGAAAATTAAACAGACTGTATTAAAACATTCTCTAATCATCATATCAGGGCCTAGAAATAAATAATTTAGAAATACCCTGTTACTTTTATGGCTCATCAGTTCAACAGGAGGATGACAAAAACAAAAGTTGCATTTGAAAAGTATGAAAATTACTGAACTCTATTACAAACTGAGAATGCTGTAGAACAACCCATAAGAGGAATAAAGTAAGTAGTAAAACTTACTTTAGTAGTAAAGGAGAGTATTATACAAAGCCTGAAGATACAGGCATTCAGTCTCATGGACTAAAATAAATATCCACATTGTCAGAGAACAATCAAAAATTTTAATGATGTTTCATTTTTTAATTCCAATATTCTTGTCAAATCAAAGACTATCTAGCCATCAAATGGGAAAGAAAAAGGTAAAGAAGGTTAATTACAAAATACAGAATTTTGTATATACTCAGAGTGCTCCAACAATTCTGTAGCACTACCAGAATTTCCTACTGTTTTGAACTTCAGACACTGCTAACTACTAGGGCATTGCTAACTCTGTGGTTTATTTGGCAGATCTACCCAACCAAATACTAAAAAAAAGGTTGAACTTTGCCCTTTCCCTCAAAAAATCCATTCAAAGGTGCTGCATTTGGCACTCATACCTTTTCTCTGATTTCCAGAGCTCGCTTACACAGTGGTTCAGCTTCTTTGTACTTTCCCCGTTTACCATAAAGTACTGCAAGATTGTTTAGAGTTGCTGCCACCTGTCAACAGTAGAGAAATGTTAATTTCACTGAAATTTGCTGATACAAATACCTGAAAAATTAATACACCTGCAAGGCATTGATGGTTTCAAATTTTCCATGCACAGGGTAGATCTCTCGAAATTTGCAAATACAGACATAATTATAATTAAAACACATACATACACAACAGAAAAAAGAAAAACCCAAAATCATGACATAAATTTGTTTCATTTTTGGAAATATCACTTAGTGCACACATCTTCCTGACACGTTCTTCTTTTACAAAGGAACCTCTCACATCAATACTGTACTCAGAGCTACCCTGCTTCCCACAGGCTACAAGAACTGAGGCATCACATGAATCATACAAAAAACTTGATTTACGTTTCATTTACAAGCAGCAGTAAAACAGATCAGAAGCGCCCCTTCAATCTGACTATAACAGAGTGATTTCAGTAAGCAAATTAAAATCTTTCTTCACAAATTGATTTCCCATAGAAAATCCATGCAATTCAAAAATCAAGTATATGCAAGTCATTCACAGTGAAAACAGCACTGAATAGAATGCTCAAAAGGTAGGATAAATATTTAAGAGAAAACAAAGGATGTCACATCGTGGTCTCCTACCTGTACTGTTTAAAGACAAGCCAGGTCTTAAAAAAAACTTTCCTGTTAAGTTTGATATTAGAATTAGTTGAAAAAAAGTTCGGTGACAAACACAACTAAAATTATGATATTGCATGTATACAAACCGCTGGATGATCTTTGCCCAAAGTCTTTTCACGGATAGCCAAGGCATCATTCAGGAGATTTGCTGCATCTTTGTATTTGTTCTGGTCTCTGAATTTTTAAAGAGACACAATCAGTACTGGTGATTCAGAACAGAAAGTCATGAAAACTAAAGTGACTTCACTACTGGCCTAAAGATGCTACAACAAAAGAGGAGTAACTGAGAATATATTCAGAAATCAGGAAGTAAAAACCTGAAGCCTGTAACCATAAAGTAGTTTGCTGCTTGGGGACTGTACTGAGCATGTACTATTTCTACACTGCTGTCCAATTTCTAGCTCTAGATTATCTCTAAGTCATCAAGACATGTCCCCTCATACACAAAAAGTAGCAAACCCAGCTTCATTCCCAAAGCCAAGGCACAGGCAAAAATACAGCAAGCTGTTTGGCTTTTAAGTATAGGGAGACATGCAAATATTTCAGGACCCTCTTGAGGGTTTTAATAATTAAAAAAAAAAAGGAAAATAAATTTAATGGAAAATAGAATAGTCAAAAAATGCTAGTCTGAACATCAAAAGGCTGTAGCCAAATACTAAGTATTTACTAAACTGGTATTTATCTGTGTCAGTATACAAACCTGTACACCAAAGCAAGTATGTTCAACATAGTGGCAACATCAGGATGGTCATGACCCGAAGTCTTCTCCAGATCTTCAAGAGCTTGTTTACAGAGAGGCACAGCAACCTCATATCTCCCTTGGGAAGCATACTGAATAACAAGGTTATGAAGGGTCCGTAATCTTGCTGGAATTTCATAGCCACCTTGCTGGGCAGCAGCTGCTGCACTGCTATGCTGCTGTTGAACTGAAAGAAATCAGCAAGGTTTCAAGTTGATTAAAAGATGACTGTAACTAAAATACTTTACTGCTCAATGACACAGTGAGACTCACTGAATTTTATTTCTTCAATACACAGCATTAATATCAGAGCATGCTTCACAGCAGTCATGCTGTCTTGAACAGTGACAGTGCAAATATGACCATTTTATTCTTCATATTCTTTCCAGTATCATATTAATATTATTTTACAATTCTAAAGGGCCAAATGTAATAAAGTAATGGAGAGAGTCGGAAACTCAGCTCATCAAACTATTAACAGTTCTCAAGATTGTATGATAATTTTGCACTTACAAATATCAGTGTTTCCCCATGGAAAGGAACACTAACATAGAAAAGATGAACACCTGCAGAAAAGCTCAATGATGTGTCCTTTTTCCTTGATTCTCCTCTAAAGATACAAATTTTTTTTGTTTCCCTTTGTTTGCTATGCCAAGGAGCACTTAAGGTTGGCACATAAAGGACTGAAACACCTTGGATGCCAGAAATAACAACTGCCAGAGAAAAAGGCAATGAGTCATCAAAGCCAACCTTTAGGTTTTACTTACTAACATCAGGCTTAGCCACTTATTTGCCAGGGGGTCTTAACCTCTGGTTGTTGCAACCCTCACTCTCCCACTCCCTGAAAAATCTACTCCTCCTTTTCTCTTCACCTGAGAGATTCCTGAGGAGATTTAGAAAATTTCTTCTAACTCATTTTCCTTAAATTCTAAGAACGCACAGGATAAGGATTCCAGCCAAGAGTCTGACTTTCTCCTTTCCTTTCTATTACACAAGAAACACTCTCATGGCAAGTGGGAGTCTTTTTATGTCAGTGGAATCACACAATTCCAAGCCTATGCCCACAGCACCACAGCCTGCCAAAGCACCAAAGCATTCCAGCATTTTTCTGGGAGGTCAGAGAGTTAACATGTCATCTTTGTCTTTTGTAAAGCAAAATAAGGGACATGACTACGTGGGTATATGGACAGCTTTGCTATTCACCTTTTCTACTACAAAATTCTAGGGAAGGATGAGCTAAGGAAGGAGGTCATGATCAACACTAACCTATTGTAAACTCTCCAAGCCTTCCTTTTGTTGCTGGCTATGGACAGCATTACCATGCTATCAAAAATGCAGTGTGCCTTGTGTGCATGCCCATAAAGGAAATTTGAAACTCTGTGGATTGCAAAGGTGGGTCACTTCAGACATTTTTCCTGAAGTCATTTGTCTACTAAGAACCATTCTGCTCCTAGCATACTGCACAGGCACTACAATATCAATACCTTATATAATACCAGCTTTACACCCACACAAAAAGCACATTTTACTAAGCAAGGCTTATCTGCTAATACCTTTTTTCAATCCCACTACCAAACCTCTACCTCAAACTCCACTGCATATTCCTCAGCCCTTCTGACCTGAAGACAAACAATACTTCCAGAATGAGTAGTAAAACTAAGGCAGACAATCTCAGCAAAGGACAAAAGACTATATGAAAAAGACTTCATACAGAAACCTGCCATAAAAATCTTAGATCATTAAAAAGGTCATTAACAGAATTCACGGAATTTGGTCACAATTCACCTCAGTCACTTGGAACTAACCTTTTCCATTCTGAGGCCCACAGGAAAGATTGTGGGAGGAATTCTGAAACTAAGTCGTTCTAAAGATCTTTACAACAGTTGCTAAACTCTCTTTAAAAAACTGGGCTCCAGTTCTGTACACATCAATGTATATAACGTGTATCAATGATTGGTTTCCTTATTCCAGGAGAGGCATTCACCACTCTAGCTGTGTCCCAGAGGATCCCAAGCATGGATTCACTTTTGTAAAGAGCATCTTTATATTCTGCATTGCAGAAATACACCAACATTGTAATCTGAGGTGCACTTACTTCCTTGTCCTTGGTCATCCTCATCATTGGGAAACAAGTCATCCAAAGGCTCTTTGGTGGAATCCGTATCTTTATCCTCCTATAGAACAACCACAAACCCAAGAAATTAAATTTAAGGCATAAAAGGACAATCCATTTAATCAGTAATGTTAAAGGAAAACCCCATATTCAGAACTTCAGAACTGACAAGAATAACATTTCTCACAGTTATAAAGGTCTTACATTCAAATGTATTTACACACCCTGTCCCAAAACAATACAGGACACCTTCAGAAGAGCCAGGAATAGAAATCAGGTCTCCTAAATTTCAGTCTCAATTTCGGCACACAAGAACACATTTGCTATTCTCACAGAGGCATTAGATCTAATGAAAGTACCCAGTGAAGAGTAAACACTGCTGAATACAGAATTGACCATGGTACCTTTTTTAGTCATAGAGAGCAGTTAGAGATGAGCAAGGCAGAGGATTAAGGAGACCTCAATATCTGAGTACTCAGCTTCCATACAAATAACTGATTTCGCAACAGTGATCTCTAAGTTCAAAAATTTAAAAAACCCACTCGGAAGGAAGTTAATTTCCAATAGTCTCCATCTGGAATCATATTAATTTCTGCACAATCCATCAGTATATATTGACTTTAAACATCCAAATGTATTTTACATCATTCCAAATGTACAACAGAGAAACAGATCACCCCTCAATTCCATTTCTCAAATGTGGACTCTACATAATATAAATAGTTGAAGTTCTCAGAAATGTTAAGCTCAGCAAGGAGAAGACCCAGGAGCAGAACACAGTCCTATTTTTCTGACTCTCCATCCAACACCTTTTTCCACAGAGGAGGAAAAGCCAACTGCTGCTGCTGGCATCCAAATTCAATGGTAGCAAAGCAAGTGCACTGCAAAAATAGCAAATTGATGGGACTACATCTCAGACGGGAAGCTCATAATTTTAAGTGTGCAGATTCAACCTCATCCTGAGTCTACAGAACTGACTATTTCAAAGGCTAACAGCAGACACTGTCCATATGGTTAGTGATGATAAAGATGCTTTGCTTACTCTGACTCTATTTGCCAATTAAACTTCAAATAATAGTGCTATTTAGGCCATCTGCAGATTACAGCTTGACAGTTAGCACATCAAAATCCCAATATTCCCTCCTCCTGTCACTTTTCTGAACAGGCTTCTCGGGCAGTATTCAGCTACAAACACCAAACCACAAAACTGAACTGCAAAGTTCCGCCTGCAACCAACCAAAACAACTCTCACTACTCACAATATGTTAGAAAGGATTAGTCAAGCAGCCAGTTAAGCATGACTGAACTGCATATATTTTTAACCATTATGTTGCTGAAATAATTAGTTATGAAGAACTGTTCCTTCCAAAACACAGCTGAGAAGGTCTGAACACAAAAAATGAAATTTTTCTCTCCAGTGCCATCTAACTGAAGGAAACAAAACAAAAATATTTTTTAAAGGGCAAATAAATCAGATTTTTTTTAAGTAATAAGTTATTTCTGTAAATTAAAGTTGCATCCAATTTCTCTCTGAATCTACGGATATGTAACACAATGGGCTTGAAAATGTGTAGATGATCACAATGTCTGACAGAAGGACCTGAAAAGACTACTCTAGTGTAAATTCTCAACAGATACAAAAGCTAAAAACTGATTTCACTAGATGAAAATTAAGTATTTTTCCTGCAGTCAAAATAAGCCAAGTCCCCAAGTTACTTACTTAGGATCTCTCATAGCTTACATTCCTGACTTATTTTACCTGCTGAATTTATAGAAGTGAGATTTTGGGTTGGTTCAGTTTTTCATAGTTTTTAAGCTTACATGACAGTAAATGAGTATTTATGGATTTTGATCCTCATGTATTTTATTATCTACAGACAGTAAAACACATACTCTCTTAAAATTTAAAAGAATGAACTCAGAATCATTCTGCAACCTATGTGACACTAGTACAAGGTAAGAATTTTAATGACAAGTTTATGTTGAAGACAAAATATATCTGTTATTTCTTGCTAAATAGGCAGATTACAACACATACGTAAACGTAACGTGCTTTTTACTATACAGCTACTTACTGACGGTGAAATGTCATCATCATATTTTTTTAATTGATTCATGAATTCTAGATGTTTCTTTTCTTCCTCCAGCTGAGCCACAGACTGCTCACTTTTCTGTAGTTTCTGCTGTGTATTGGCTAGTTCATCCCGTAGCCACTGATTTTCCTGGCACAGCCGGCGAACCTGAGCACGCAGTTTCTGCTTCTCTGATTCCACTGCATTTAAGTGATTTGACAAGGCCATCATTACCTAAAAAGCAGAAGGTGTCACATGACTTACTTCCCCTAGAATCCAGTCCTATATTTAACATAAAAGCCCTTTATTATTTAAACCTGACAGCTGTGAAATCTTGGTAAACATTCACATTTCCCTTCTTTACAGATCTGTTCTCACCGTTCCTTGAAATTCTTTTACCAGTTAAAATCACAGAATAGTTTGGGTTGGGAAGGACTTTAACGATCAACTAATTCCAATCCCCCGCCACAGGCAGGGACACCTTCCACTACACCAGGCTGATCAAACCTGGCCTTCAACACTTCCAAGAATGCAGTACCCACAACTTCTCTAGGCAAGCTGTTCCAGTGTCTCACCATCCTCAAGGAAGAATTTCTTCCTTACATCCAATCTAAACCTACTCTCTCTCAGTTTGAAGCCATTAATGCATGTCCCATCACTACATGACCCTGTAAAATTCCCTCTCCATGTCTCTTCTAGCCCGTTTAGGTACAGGAAGTGGCTGTAAGGTCTCCTCAGAGCCTTCTCTTCTCCAGGCTGAACTATCCCAGCTCTCTCAGCCTGCCTTCACAGGAGAGGAGCTCCAGCCCTCTGAGTATCTTCATGGCCTCCTCTGGACTTGCACCAACAGGTCTATGTCCTTCCTATGTTGGGGGTCCCAACCTAGAGGAACTTCTTATTAATTACTGTTTTCCATGATGCTATCAGAAGCTTAAATTGCTTAGAATTCCCTGAAAATTAAATATAACCTTAAAAATTTGAACTAGATTGATGAACTGGAATTAATGAACTATTTGTTCTACTAACATGAAATGGAGCACTTTTAACTTGAAGGATCACAAAAATAACCTAAGAACTAACACAGAGTCCTAATTTAGCAGCTTCCAGACAGAGGAGGATTCATTTGCTTCCAGTTCATAAGGATGAACACCTCAGCATAACGATGATACTTCAAAGGGACAGTTACACTACTGAGCTCTAAATGTGCCATTGATCACACAATATATATAAGCACTTTATAGTACTTATAAGCTTGAGAGTGCAGACATTCAAACCCAGTCATATTACGGACAAAAATAGAACAGCCATAGAAGCAGTCTGCTTGGATTGGGGTTTTTTTTGCTAAGCAAAGTTAAATGAAAAAGGAGCTTATTAAATGAAAGCCAAACACTAGCAGCATAAGATAGTCTCCCTTCACTGTTTATGCAATCTCCCACTGACATATGCAGAACAGCTCCCAGGAAGCACAACTTGTAAGAGTGGACCACTGGTGAGAATACAAATCTTTTAGATCAGTTTGATGTCCCCAAGTTCCTAGTATTTCATCTCCTCAATTTCATGCTTTTTAAAAAACAAAGTTCCCTTTAAGTGGTTTTAAACTAAGTATTTAATGTGAAACAGATGGTGTCCTTAGCTGAAATTTCAGGTGTCAAAAAATTCATCAAGCCTTTACAAACAACTTTTTCCTATAAAGGTAAGAAAAACTCCAGGTATAATTTCCAAATTAGTCCAAATCTCCAGACTTCAGCACCCACCTATTTACATATCCAGCATTTTAAATTACGTGGTCTATTCAAACAGTGGCATTTGTAACATCAGAAAGAACATTTAGGAAAGTTGTGGTAATAAGGTCAACATATTCAAACATCGAACAAGCTACAATGGCAAACTAAAATCTTTTGTAATCTTACTTTAGAATTAACTGAAAGGAAAGTCTGATCACTTCTTCAGCAAAGTTAGTTTCATTTTCACGGAAATAACACTTATGTCACCAGACCTACATGCATATCACAAAAAACATCTATAACCTATTTCCATTTCTCAATTTAAATAAACAACAACAAAAAATTACTACATTGTTACAACCAAGCTGTAGGAAGAGTAGCCTTATTGAGTCTGAGAGCAGTAGTTTGAAGTGTAACTGGTTTCCTAACAAAGGCAGCAATGAAGGCTTCTTGGCTCCTCACCATCACAGTTCACAAAGCACCAGGTGAAGCAAACAAGGCAGGAATATCTGCAGCTGAGGCTGCTGAATGTGACAGAGCCAAGAATCAGAACCAGCTTTTCAGTGTCCCAATACCACGTCAAAGTTAGGAGAGAGAAGTTTTTAATTCACTCACAGATCTACAAACAACCATTAAAGGTAACTCGACTATTGCAATTTTATTCCATGTATCTTCTAGTATTTCCTCCCAGTACGAGGGATCACAGCTTGTATAACATAACAAGGCCTGACAGTCTGTACCATAATGTCCAGGGCTTCTAAGTTCCCATGTCTGGTAACCCATATTTCATTCTCTCAGTCTCAATTCACCACGATCCAATGCACACAGCTTCCAGATCACCAAGCAATAATAGCTCAATTCAGATGAGAAGCCTGAGCACAGTTATAGACCAATATGAAGCCTATATTCTATATTAATATAGCCTATTAGTATTCTCTATTAATATAGAACCAACTCGTTGGCATTTTCAACTCATTTGTGAGCACTCTGCCATTTTACACTGGTGACTGTCACATCACATTGTTTCAGGTTTTTGATCTAGTATAAAATACTAGTACTGTAAACATAGTCCTGACAGCCCAACTAAGCATGCATCTTTTCACTCATCTTCTGCACAAGATACCTTCCTTAACTAGGAGAGTTCCTCGAAATCAGCTCAGAGTCCTTTCTCTAATGCACCATGGAAAGCTGTTCAGATTCTGCACTCAATTCTTAACTTTTGAAATGTTTTAGATTCAATTCTGGTTTAGTAAAATTTTAATAAGCATTAGAGATTCTTAAGCTCTAGGAGCAGCATGAGTTACTATAAGGAATCTCAGAATCAAGGGAATATAAACACAGAATTTAAGGTTGTGTCAGAGCTCAAAGGCTGGAGCAAATTCATTTATGTGTGTGTGAGACCTTCCTATGCAATAATTTAGAGTTAACATGCCACTGCTCAGTTCTTGAGCTGCTCGAACATTACCTGCCTAATGCTGTGGAAAAGTCCAAACAGAAAATATAACTGTCTCACTGACATAAAGAGGAGCTCAGTTAAGAGCTCCAGTGCTTTAACACTGAATGCACAATTAGTTCAGTAACACGGCAAGACAAACAGTAAGTACCTCTATTAATTACAGCAGTCTTCCTTAACATACAAGAAAAATGTAGATGCCCAGCACTTTACTAACACCCAGTAAGGCAAATGCAAATCCTCAAAGTCTGAAAAGCTCTATTTTTACTGCAATTTTACCTGTGCTTCACTAAGGCCAAGCTCCAGCATTTCCAGTGACTTTCGAATCATGTTTGATTTTTCCTCAACCAGATTAGTTTCATCATCTTTCTTCAAACATTTCAGTGTTTCAAGTAAGCTCTGTAAAATTGAATTGTGTTCATTCTTCAGTGCCTCTAGTCCATTGATCACTTGCTTAGTTTTGGCAATGATTTCATCTTGAGTAAGCTTCTCCAACTTCTCTTCCTTTAAATACACCATTGTGGACATGTTTTCATACATTCTGAAATGGAAGAGTACGATAGTTAATACAAAAGTAAAAATAAAACAATTCTCTCTAAATGAAAGAAGTTTTCTTTTAAGAAGTCATTTAAACATACAAATTTGAAATGTATATTCGGAATGCAATTATATTTGTGCACAGCTTTTACAATGTTTTAAGTTCTGGGTTTGAACAGTGTTTCAAGTTTTCCAGTTTCTACTTCCAGACTTAATATTAACACTCATTCATGAATCAGACAACACCACATAATAAAATACAGACTACAGCATGGCAGAAAAATTTCTAAGGAGCACTGAAGAACAGGGCTGCACCTCCAGGATTCTGGTTTGCACAAAAACTGGTACAAAAGTAGTTGGTGTATAAAATAGACACTATAATAAATATAGCTAATTGCAGGTGCTGCTGATCTAGAAAAATAACCACAAAATACAGCTTGAAGAATTTGAAGAAATACCATCCAGCCTTTTAAAAGGGTTGATCAATCAATTATGAGAAAAAAGTCATCCCTTTCCAGTAAAAAGAAAACACCATCTTCATCCTTTCCCAAGGCTACAAAAACTGTTATGACGACATATTTTCCCCCAAGACTATTTTACATTGATTATTGTAGCTCTACAGCTACACACAGACATTCAATTGCCTACAGGTCTAGATGCAGGTGTTTTGATCAAGATGCAACAGCTGTCTCATGCTGGAAAAAGCAGTTTGTGTAACACAACCCTTGCAAGAAGCATTTCACTGGTGCTATTTTGTCAGCATCTTGTGTCCTACATTAAGGATAGCAAATTTCTGAATGTTTGTCAACATCTCTACGAAATGCAAACGAAGATCCAAAAAAGTTTAGAAACTCAGGAAACTTATCACACGTGCTGTTACTGAAGTGACAAACAGGTTTAGGCAAATAATTTGACCTTTTTTAAATGTCACCAGAAAAATGTTCTATAATGAAAATAACGAGAACTAAGAAATTACTCCTTTACACTTAATATATTTATATCTCTGAGTGAACCAGGAAGTATAAATTACAATGAAATAGGAAAGATTTTTCAAAAGCAATAAATTATCACATCTATGTAAAGACACTTGGAGAAGCATTGATAAACTAACATTTAATGTTAATTAAACTGTATTAAAACAGAAACAAGTGTAGTTTTAGAAGAAAAAAAATTACATCCACTTAAATATTGAATTAAAACTGCTATAAGGAACATGCAATATGCACATCATGACAACAGCCAGAAGATGTGCTCTTATGCACTTGTATTACATTAAAAATAAAAGACTGTTCCTTCTGTTTATAGGTACTCAAATTACCCTCTCTGCTATGATCTCCTGCAATGAAATACCCAAAAGGCACAGATTCATTTGTTACAAAAAAAAAAAAAAGCTGTACACGACACTGGTTTATTTTGTAATAATCAACTGTCTCAAAACACAGTTACTTTGGGGAAGCAGTGAATTTAGTTTTACCCCAGTTCAACACAAGAACTTCATATTCACATATAAATTAATATGGAGCAAATACATCTGTATAAAACAGCTAATCTAGCACGACATAAGAAATTAACTCATGAAAACCTGATGAGGAGAAGGATTTTTACACACTTCTCATTTATAACCTGAGAACCATTACCCAGAACGCTTAAAAGCACAGTTTTAAAGCACATTCTCTCTGAAGTTGTGAAGAATAATTAACTGCAGTTTAATGGGGGCCAAATTGGTAAATAAATGCTTCTAACACCCACAATCATATAAGAAATTGTTATCCATTACATTAACTTCAGCATACAGCTCAACCTTAATTACTCTTGGTAATTTCACACCTGAATGCAAAGAACCAAACCTTTGATTATAAGGAAATAAAACCAGCAGAGAACATTTAATGAAGTGACCATCTATGTGTCCCATGTGAACAGCTCCTTCTGCATGCCTGAGTATTATGCCATTCTACAGCAAAGATGAAAAGCAGGTGTATCCATGTATGGCTGTAATGCACGTAAAGATGCCATTTTTTAAAAAAAATTACATATTTTAAACACCACAGTAGAAATAAAATAAATTCTAAGGGGTGAATACTGATAAATTAGCACCCACTCCCTGTTACACAAAACCCAGAAACTCACACCAAGAAGTACATTAGGCCTTGCAATGGCCATGTCTTCATAAAAAAAGAATGGAGTAGCCTGGAAAGCAAGCACCTGTGTGACACACGAAATCCAGCCTAAACACACATCTGTGTGCACAGTTACAGCTAAGATCTGAAACCAGGACACTGCTTTGTTACCGTAAGGAAAAAAAGGTTGTCAGATCAGGTCCACAGCCCTGGCTAAATACACTAAAGTAGCAATTAAGGATGGCTAAGCCAGCACAGCAGCTTTTGAAGAGAGGAAAAGCAGGTTTAAACCCAATGGGGCAAAAACATACTTAAAAGCATCCCAGCAGCAGACCTGCTTTACTAATACGTGCCGTCTAAATCCGGTGCGCCAGATTTTTTTAGCCACCTCATTCCAAACCAAATGCAGCTAAAAGCTTCCACTGCCTCAGCAAACCATGCTGTAGCTGGAGTCAAGCCAAAAGCTGCATCAAGACACAGACTGACCTGATGGTCCATGCAGCCTGGAGAACAATTCTCAAGTGTTCTGTGGTTAGAACTGTTACAATCCCGATCTCTCCTGCTCACACGAATACAACTTTTGGCATAGGTTTTGTAGGGTGTCTGTTTAAATGACCTCTGCATAAAACACTACAGAAAACTTGGGCAATGCTGTTCAGCGTTTCATAGATTGTGTTTGGGAGAATAATTTAGAAAACAGGAGCATAACAAAACAGGAGCATAACATGACATAATTTGTCATGCTATCAGATCTGATTCTTTGTAGGAGTAAAATGAATAAATATCCTTTAAGAGTAGCATGAAGGTGTGATGCTATTTCCATTATTTTTTTAAATATATTTTACAAAAGATAATTACCTATTCATCAAGCAACATATGTTAATACATAATCATACTATTAGATTTGCATGCCCCGAGGCAGCAAACCCCATACAGGAAGCCAACAAATTTAAGTTTGTATGTAGGATGCATACAGAGGAAAAGAGACAAAACATACCCTGCCTTCCTATTGTCACTTTTCAAAAAATGTTAACTCTTTCTTCCTGTACTTTTTCCCTAGAGAAGAAAAAGGGCACAGGCAAAGGCTTCTTAAGCTCCTGTCAGTTTTATCCTGACACTGAAAATTTTACCTAAGACAGGAATTATAGACTAAAATACTATTTTATAACTCAGTGTACAATTGAAAACAAAACAAAGAACTGAGATGCAGAAAAGTTTATTTGGAAAACATAATTTTGGATGAGAAAAAAAATGTAATGTAGCCAGAGATACAAACTCACCTGGTGGCTTAAGAAATTTACATCTCTTATTAAGAATGTGCCTACATAAATCTTGAGTATTAGCTTCCTTGTTTGTTTTTGACAATATAGACTTTACTGAAGTACAAAAGTAACTTAGTGCTTTCCAACACTTTTTTTAAAAAAATCAACCACCTTCTTAAACCACATAAAAACTAAATAACTTTGACAGATCAACATAAAAAACCCTGCAATGACACCTACTAAAGAGGTTTCCACAAAACTTTGCAACATAAACTCAAATCAAAGAAATGGATTGAGAATAGCGAGAATATGAACCAAAGAAAGCATAAAGGAAGCAGAGCCAAGCCTCCTGTCTTTCATTCCTGTAACCACTGGGATAATCCCATCATATACAAACGACTTAAGTGGCTGTTATCTTTAATCAGTTTAAGTATTTTATTATTCATAAAACTTTCAAAACAACTGCACTAGTAATGCTGACATCACAATTTGTGCCTAAATTCTCCTACAGACATACACACATCACAACTTGCTACTTAAGCTCTTCAGCTCATATTTAAGGATCTCTTAAACATAAATAGCTTTTCCTACTCAGCTACTTTTAAGGAAGTGTCATTTTCCTGCAGATCACCTCAAAATATTCTTGGGCCAAAACACAAACATATGAATCCCTCTTTGCATAGGAAAACCTACCAAGGAAGAATTTTATTCTAAAAAACCTACAAGATTTTTTTTCCATGACTAAAGATTAGCACAGATCCGAAAGAAAAATAAACAAAACCATAACAGTTTGGGTTTTTTTCCTTGTGATGAATCCCTAAGGATTCCCTCTCTCTGTATTGATATTTTCATTATTTAATAGGTTTCAAGTACTAAAAGCTTGGGAGATAAATTTTTAATGTATCTAGTGTCTGATCATTATTGCTTCAAAACACAATTAAAAACAAATAAATTTCAAAACCCCCGAAGTCTAAACTGCTGTGTCAAGCCAAATTCTCCCTTGACTTTATCCACTGAATATACAGCTAGCAAGCAGCATAGCTGAAAATTACAGAATAATGTGTTTGCATAGAAGAAAATCATCTTCCTAACAGTAAAAGCTGCTACAAGACTGTCTCAAGCCATACCACTCATCTACATGCACTGTAAATTCCACACAGTTACAGTATATACTGATTTGAGCTTTTTGTATCTCTAGTATGTACCTATCAGGTCTCTGTTTTGTAATAATAATCAGTCTTTTCAGGGCTTTTAACCCTAATTTCACTCTTAGTTCCCCCTTAATTAAATGGCAAGGCTCAGCATCCTAGATCTGCCATGTGCTTGCTTCAATTCTGTATGAGCTGCAAATTACAAATCATTAATTCCCTGCTCAGACCAAGAACACGTCTCATTACATCATGGAATGCACCATCTTCAAATACTACAGAGCTGCTTTAACTGCTAATCTTCATAATGTGGAAAACTGCCTTCTCAAACAATCCTCAAAACATCACAGGCCTTGCAAGCACAAAAAGAAAATCACCAACAAAGGCAGGAGATGAAAAACAGTCTGTGGAGGGACTGAGTTGTGTGTCAAACACTGCATTAACTGCACTCTTCCCTAAAGCAACTCAGCCAAATGC